TAAAATTAAATAATAAAATAAATACTTGAAGACTTTTCAAATCCATGGAACACTTTTTGCATTTACAAACACAAAAAATGTAATAGTCAAACTTTGCTGTGCATGACCAAAGAATTTTGCAGCACTTTGATGCATTGAGGTCATAAATATAATCTTGTAGAAATGTTAATTACCAAACACATTTTGACCTTAAACTAGATGGAGTCTCCTTCAGAAGGAAACACAGTTTTGTTTGTTTTAAGTGCTTTTTGAGGCTGGTGATGGTGGTATAGATTAAGTTAAATCTCTCCCATTCTCTGGGACTGTCATCCAGGAATATCAAGATAAGTTGCACTAATTTCTTCTTAAAGCAGTTTTATAATCAAGTTAAAGATATACAGTAGATGCTTTGCTAAAAATGTCTTATTGTAGCTAACTATCCTTACTCATCAGGGAAGGGGGGATGGGGGAAGAATTTTTTCCCTCTAAATTTCCCAATAACGAGACAATGTATTAATGTTCTCGTTGCTAATTAATCAAAATATGAATTCAGTTCCAGGAGCAAAACTGCTTCCATGCTGTAGTTCCAGCACTTGGTTGAAAATATAATCATAGTTGTATTTTCCAAGACAGTGTTTAGAGCCTTGTTTCTTTGCTAAAGTCAGAAGATGAATGAGCTGCATGTTTGTTTTTGAATTAATAGCTGAAATTCACTCATGTGGAAATAAAGCAAATTTAACTGTGACTTGAATTTGTCATTAAAAAGTCATTATGAAAACGGACCAACCTAGTTCCTTCTCTTTTACCATTAATGACAAAACAATCTCTCTCGCTCTCTCAGAAAGAAAGAAAGAAAGAAAGAAAGAAAGAAAGAAAGAGAAAGAAAGAATGAATGAATTAGGGGAGAGACTATATTTTCACTTGGAAAATAGTGCAAAAAGCATAATATAATAGAACCATGGTGAAGTGAGTCAGTTTAGAGATTTATTGATCAATAAAGCAGACAATTACAGCTTGTTTATAAAAGGAAGAGTCCCTCCTTGACCCTGCAAGCAACACTAAGACTCTAATAATGATAATTCTAGCATCTAGCTTGAAACGATAAAAGTCAATAGGAAGATATAGGATTTCAATAAAATTATGACAGTATATAAACTTTATCCCAGGAACAAGTTTTCCCCAGATATCTGATTGACTTTAGTTAGATTTGTAACTTTAATTTTGTTTCCATTGATTTTTGTGTGTGCAACAACTAATTAGACACTCACTGTCAAACACCCCAGATCTCTGAAGAAAGTAAAGGCAGACCAAGCATGGGGGTGATATACTACAAAAGTCCAAATGAACTCTATCAATAAATGTACAATTAATACACAAATTCAGCCTTTGTTTTGTAAGTTTTCTGTTCTTTTTTGCTCATCTCTTCAATAAAGAGAACAATCTAGAAAGTGCAGGTGTGTCACTGAAATAAGTCAAAAGAAGACCTATAGCTGATTTATATTGTATTTTCTCTTCATTTCAATGGAAAACTCAGACAAATTAATGCACAGTGAGTCTCTTACATTAGTTACCCTGGGTTCGTTATGTTAATTATTGATGGATCTGTTTTTATCCCAACTGCTGTTTTATGTGTGTGGTTTTTTGTGTTTCATATTTTTAATATTGTTAGCTGCCCAGAGTAATTAATTTGAGATGGGCAGCCATATTGATTGATTGATTGAATGACTAAGTTATGCAGAAAAATATTGGCTCTATAAAAAGAGATGACAGATCATGTGTGATAAAGAGCCCTTCCTCCCAATCCAGAAGAAGTAGAGAGGAATCCTCAGAAGCAAGCAGGCAGCCCGATGGAGTTTTGAGGCTGAAGAGAAACAGTTGGTTTCCTTGATTCAGGTTTGAGATTCCTTTCTGCTATATCACAAGAACTTCGTGTTATTGACGATTGTCTCCATTCCTGAAAAGGAAACTTTTGAAGTGGTGTATTTAGATATTCATGTCCATACCAACGTACACATCTAATGCATTTGCCTTGAGCCTTGTTTAGGACATACTGTAGCAGATTAAAATCTTCATTTGAGCCACTTTTTCCACTCTATTCTTGTTTTGTCCTGACAAGTTTCTAAGAGATGTCCAGAATCTCAATCATATTTGGATTTTTGGATGACACTCCTAACATACATATTTATTTGAGCATTTTTATGGCTGCCTAACTCAGACCATGTGACTCTGGATGGCATAGCAGTTCTATTCTGCTTATCCTGACCTAAGGCCTGGGGAAAGAACCAGGAGTTAACGGTTTTTCTAAGGACCTGCGGGGTCAGGGCTGCCCGTATATCAGGGGACAGTTTATTCCAAAAAGCAAGGGGCTCCACTGAGAAGGATCCCATTGGATGACATTGTTTCTGTGAAGAGACCCAGAGCGTGCTCCCTTCATCTGAACATGGGGGATGGGCAGGTATTCTTGGGATCAGGGAATCCTGCAGATAACCCAGTCCTTCTGGTGTCCTCCTTGTTTCTCGGACTTAAGTTTTGATAGGTTGGGTGAGGTGAAGACAAGCGTATCTGAAGAGAATTGGCTGGCTTTTGGGAAACTTTGGCACAGTGTTTCCTCTTCCAGCTGCTTGATCCTCTGATACGTTTGTCAGACCTGAAGACTACAGAGATGTTGGTCTTTGACCAAAATACTGTAAAAGAGTTTACATTTACAGAGATGCATTACAGTACAGTGTTGCTAATTCATGGTCCTGCCATTTGTGAGCTAACAGAGTGACTTTTCTCCTTATGTTTGTAGAGGGGCCTAACAGATAGTATTTGATTTCACGTAACAGTGTATTTATTGTTTACTACAAGAGAAGGCATGCCTTCTGAAAATGCTGTTCATGCCTTCAGGCTTGAGTTCATAGGATCATCTCGTGAGGTTGGAGTGGAAAGGTGAAGTGACCCCATAGGACTTTTCTGTCCCCTTCATAATTTATGTGTGTAGATGCTCTGAAGCAAAAATGATGAGGCCAGTTCCTCTGTTTGCATCTGAAGACAGTCCTTCCCCTGTTCTTTATTAGCTTGGTTTTTCTGCCTTGAAACTAGCTTTGATGAGCCATCACCAGCCCTTCCTGTCTGATCTTTCTGTAGTGAAAATATTTTGAACACATCCATAGTTTTTCCAGCAGATATTCTCGCTTGGTTTTTCACACCTTCATGAATTTATAGGCTCTTCCACTGTCCTCCTCAGATACAAAATTATTAAGCACTCGATGCTTGACAGCCAGGTTTGAGGCATCCTTGGAATCCAGATGTAAAAGTATAGATCCGTTGACCTAAAGATACTGTTTTTGAACTGCAACTCACATAAGTCTTTTGTTGGAGAGAGGGAGCTGTATAAGCAAAATACATTGGTAACTCCCTCAGACTAGCTACTTCCCCTGAGGAGAGACTTACAGGAGAAGCATTTCAGGATGTTAGGTTAGCAAACACCGGATAGATTTGTCTCAATAATTTATAGGGTGTTAGTGTGAAGAGGGAGTTCAGATCACAGAGGTCTTCCCTGGAGTTTGACAGCCTACAGCGAGGGAACTCTCGCTATCAAGGAGGCCTTGATAAGGCACATGGATGCTGGTATGGTGGATGATCTGCTGTACATCCCTAGAGACAGTCCTGCTGGGAAGTAAGGGTGGACGCTTCTTCAGGTGAGGGAAGGGGAGACAACCTTGGCTTTTGAGGAACATGGGACAGCATCTGGCCTCAACATATCCCGCTGAATATGAATCACTAGTGCAATGAAACATGCATCAAGTATTTTATTTTCTTACTAATCACAGTATGGATAGTAAGGAAGAATCTCCTGTTTTTACCTGACATTTCCTCCCCCACCTCTACTACCCCCAGTTTGCTCTGTGTTTCCCTTCTCTTGATTAATACCAAATATTTGAAGGCCAGGCCAGGCCAGGAACACTTCTCCTGAAGTTTCCAGAGTTGGATGTTTGTTCTTCTGTGTATTTAATCAGTTTACAAAACAGAGTTCAAGAAGCTTTTTCTGCTTGAGCTGTTTCTTCTTTCGGCTTTTCTGTGGTGGTACATTTGCAACATGGCCAAGGCTACCATGCGTTGTCATGGAGTATGGAGGAACATGTACCTTCTTAACCTTTTCACTAGGCCCTAACATGATTTAATAGCCAACAAATTGAAGTATCCTTGCTGGATGTATTTAATTGAGCCAGTTCTGCCTCAAGTAGTATCTCTAATATCAGCTAAAGATACAAGAATGGTATGGATTTGCCTTTGCCTGTTACATCTGTTGACCAGTTGTTCAGTTGTTGAATGCATATGATCAAACCATGGCTTGCTTGTCAGAAAGTATTTGGCTTGTCCACTGGATTCTGATCTCTGTGAATTAATGAAAAATTTAATGGTATGACCTTGAGGCAGATGTTTGAACCTTCTCATGCAAATCAAGTGAGGCACAGTGGTAAATTGTTCATCATGCATCAGGCAATATTTATAGCAATATTGATTATGATTTTTGTATTGCTCTCTGATTAGCTTGTATATTCCTCCCACTCTGATTTCCTTGCTTGCTCTAAGAAAATTAAACCTTAAATAAAGCTCAGAGGGATCGCGCACATTTCCCAGTTCGTAGTGTGCGCTCATAAACCACTTTAAGTCAAGCTGCTTTTTAAATATTGTCAGTCGCATAAAGACACAGAGGGAGAAATGTTCTGTCCCTGCTGGAACATGAGTGACTCCTGAGCCTCCTGAGAATGTATGCGTTTCTCCCTATAGGTTATGTATCTCTCTAGATAAAACCTTTATTTAACGTAATGTATTACTTGTTTAATTTCTTTTATCATTATCGACATTTGGTTGCATTAGAAAGTTGTGGGAATAGAGCAGCAGGAAAACTAGGTGGTAGAGGAATGGAACTGTTGCTTATGTTGCCAACTTGAACTTGTACTCTGGTTGTATTGAATGGAAAGCTAATAGTTTTTCTGTTTTGTTTTTTTTGCCTTCCTCCCCCATTTTCTCAGGCCCGTGATGGAATGAGAGCAATTCTGGAATTCTATGACAGTGAGCTTAATCCATCGGAGCACTCTCCGCAACTAAACTTCCGTGTGCAGGAGGCTGAGGAGATGGTGCAGAAGGTCGAAGCACATTGTACTGAAATGGAGGTAATTGAGGGCACCACATTGGTGTGTTTTTCTTTTCAAGGGGAACCAGCCTTGAGTGGGAGAGGGAAGACCCACCCCTACCTTTGTGGATCTGAACATGGATTTGGAAGAAATTTAGTAGAAATGCATGCTTAATCACTAGCACTTTCTCAAGCCAGAAGTAGAGAGGTACTTCCAGCAGGGTTGACCACTGTGGGCATTAGGAACAAAGGCAACCAATAAGGAGTTCTCTTTGTTTCTTTCCGTGCCTTTGCTCTGCTTCCCCCTAAACAGTCTTCCGATAGGCTGTCTTTCCCCTTCCTAGAGAAAAAGTAGAGTACAGCTTCTTTCCTTCAATCTTCAGAGTTCAGTTTTCTCTTGGAGTATGTATTCTGCTTAATAGATTTTACTTGCCCTTTTGGACCTTTAGCATCTGTCTCTGCACACTCTTAACTGACTTGGTGCTACTTCCAGGCATATGCGTGGCATCATACTGACCCCAGTGAATCAACTGGAGGGTGTCAACCAGGGTTAACTCCAAACATGTTTCTTAATCTTTTTTTCTTCCAGTGAATGAATGTGGAGTGGCTTTAGTGGAGAAAATATATGTAGTATGAAAATGGTCTGTGGCAAACCATTTCAACACCCCAGTGGTGTTGGGAATCTTCCACTTCAGCAAAAACATGAAGTCAGAATCTCAACTTTAGCTTTTGGAAACCAGTGATCTACCTTGATTTAGTGGTTAGCTCTGTCAGTAGCTACTTGACCTGATTGGTGCATGGTCCAGCTTTGGACATCAGTCTTCGTTTCATTCGGCTGTTTGGAAATTACAACTTGAATGAGGGTCGATAACAGAGAAGCAAGAGGCCAACATGAGGTCAGTTGATGCTGCACCTAATGAAAATATGTAACCAATATTGCAGATTAAAAAGTGATTGGGTACATTTTCAGTTCTAATTTATAATTTTCCTTTTGCCATAATATGCCATTGGACTTAATCAGCTTTGTTTGTTTGTTTGGTTGGCTGGTTAAACTGACCCATGTTTCTTCTTAAGGTAACTCAAACTTAGGTCAGTAAATCAATTTACTGAGAGAATAGAAATCTCTCAACAAGCTGATTCCATTGTTAGTCCTCCAAGTTTCAGCCGTATCTTTTCTTTTTTGTCCTCCCACTCTGCCCCATCACAGCAAGCATATTCTTCCAAAGTCTTCCAAAAACATTTACAAAAATAAATAATAATTTAAAAAAAACATTAAAGTATTTGGTTCCATGTAGCAGCTGTTCTTGGTTAAGCAGAACAATATCAGGTCATCATTAACTGCTGCTCTTTGCTGAGTGGGAGGGGGGGAAGGGGGAGAGAGAGAGAGAGAGAGAGAGAGAGAGAGACTGATTAAGGGATTGGAATTTTGCTCCCAAATCCAGGTACTTCCAGGTGTACCACAGGACAGACAACAGAAGAATACTCAGAAGAATAAATTAGGACGTTCCCCAAATGTCTTAATTTATTTTTGAGAGGAAGCTTGATGTTCTCAGTCACACCTAATTATGACTCAGTACCTCTTAGCCACAAAATGCAGTTAGAGAATGAGATGTTCACGGAATATGACTGCTGGCTTTCATGTGTGCCTGTGCTAATTCCAATGACTTTAAGATGTCTTGTTCCTTCATTGTGTGGATGGAGTCCTGGCTTAAAGGAATGTATGAACCAGGATTTAGAGGCAGATACATGGATCATTAAGCTGTCTATTTTGATGCACTTACATAAACTCTTTGTAAGCAGGCTTTCCACAGGCAAGGCTTACCCTCTGACCTAAATTTATGATAGTTGCTTTGAGAGAACCAGGATGATGCTAAATATAGGCTGGTGAAGGTTAATGCCAATAAAGCAACATCATAAACGTAACTCCATTAATGTTCCTTTCATTACAACACATTTTGCTCAGCGTGAAGCATTAAGAGCATGAAGAGAGATGTGCAGGACACACTCAGGCTGACACTTTCCATAGTTCACAGATTCCTTACGGTGAGAGATTTATGCTGTCCAGGAGCTCCACATGTACTCTTAATTGGTTAATTATGAAGCCGGCAGTCTCTACTCATCAAATACCATATGTTCTAATTCTCCACTCCCAAGAGTTCTGGGGTGGAGTCTGCTGCTGGTGACCTGAAAAACTACCCGTTAAGGATTCTCACCTTTCCCCTTCCTGCTGGAATGGGCATCGGGGCACTGCTGTTATTTGCAATAATCAGCATAAAATAGATCTCTGCGAAGTGTTAAGCCATCCCTGTTCCCCTTTAAAATGTACGAGCTGAAGCAATAAAATATTGATTTGAGTAGTTACGGTAATAGCTTCTTCCCTCCCTAGTACCTTTCCTCCCATTAAAGTTGTCCCTGCACTTCATTCCTCCCCTGTTCCATTTCTTTAGCTTTTCTTCCAAGGCAAATCTTTGGATAAATCAAATGGAGTATACAGAATCTCCTGGGATGCATTGCATGGGCTGCAACGGAGGATTTATGAGTGTGTCCTTCGCCTTGACCAGTGTCTGACTAGCTTTTGTATCCATAAAATAGCCCTGAATTGTAGGCATTCACCCAGCCTGTCTTCCTGGTTCCCTGTTTTTCGAAGACATATGATACAGGTTAGTCAATTTGTGCACCCCTTCCCCATTATAATGTGCCAGGCAGTGGTGGCCTTTTGGTCTTAAATGAAATAAGTAGCAGAAATCTTCTGTGCATAGAGCACTCTACGTAAGCAGAGTAGAGTAGTTATAAAATAGTTGATTTAAGTGCATTACAAGAAAGCAATATAATTAGAAATGATATAAACACAGCTTTGAAATAACAGCAGCAGAACTTTTGTGGGAAACTCCTGTTGAAATAAAATTGATTTTCGCTGGAAGGGGTATTCCACAGCTCTGGGGGCCTTCACCAATAAGATCCCATCTTTTCTGCACAGCTCTCTCAGATAGTCCAAGCGTACCTCTGGATAGATCACCCAGGTCTAAATGCTTGTGGACTTGGCTGTCTAGAGGGGGTTTTATATCTTGAAAAGCCTTTTCTGGATTCCTTCCAGTGCATCAGAAATAGGTAATTATAACTTTCCCTGCAGGACCCCTCTAGCATTTGATGTGTCCTGTTGTTTATTCTTATGCACAGCAACGTGTGGAATAGAATTAACCTGGGCAAGATGTATTGTTTCTTTCTTAGTGACTCCCCATTGCTAATTAATTGGTTTTGTTTTTGTCTTAATCTATGAAAACAGATTTGGCTTAAACACAACACATACACAGAGCCTAGATTTGAAAATATGACTGTGTTCAAATTTCTCTGTGTGTTATTCCCTTGAAAGAACCAGGGAAACTGAGATTGTCAGTTCTCTCAAGATGGTGCTCTGTGCGTGTGTGTGTGTGTGTTTAGGCATGTGTGTGTGCTAAATCCACTTCAGAAATAGGAAAAGGTCTTTGGAAATATCCTCAAGGAATTGAAGTCAGTGGAAAATGTGAGAGGTCTGGTGTGTTTGTTTAGAGGCTTAAACTGACTGAAGTTGTGCTATAAAGGCAATTTAATTAAAAATTATAGCATGGTGTGGCAAACAAGCTTGCTACAGTCAGTCACGTATATTCAAATGATCTCTCTGACTATTGCTTAGGAATTGCTCATTTGACTAATACAGAGAAGCTTCTTAATTCTACAGAATGAGCAACTATCCTGTACTTCAGGAGAAGGCACATAACCCAGATGCCCAGTTTCTTTCAGTGTAGGTCTTTTCCTGGAACCAACCTGTTCTTTATCTCCAAAGAGACATCTCATTATTCACTGGGATGGAATCACTATAATCTCAGTAATGATGAGAATTAAGCTTTCTGTGTAGAACCATGGCAAGATAACCATCTGGTTGGTAGTCTGCATCAGCGTTAGGCAGATCTGTGGGCACTCCAAATACCGCTGAACTACAATTCCCAGTACCTCTCTTCATTGGTATGCTTCCTAGCCATCGTGGGAGTTGCAGTTCAGCAAAGTCTAGAGAGCCCCACGTCATCTACCCTGCTCTAATCTTCAAAAGGCCTTCCTTAATAAATGGGAGCCCCCTTGCAAAGATGGTGTGTGTTTGCCTCGTAGTGGACGTGAATGGGGCTGTAACGTATCAGTATTGCATTTCTTCACTTCTGCTGATGGCAATGGAATTAAAGAGGGATACTTTCACGGGTAGTAACAAAGGCATGGATAGCCTCTGAAGTCTTTTGGGCCTAAAGGTTATGTCAAGATCCTTAATTCACTATTTTCAAAATAGTACCAATTCAGTTCTGGGGGAAAACCAAATATATTTGTAAGAAAGCTGTCATTGATTATCATTGGATCTTGGTTGCTTTTTTTTTTTAAAGAATCATTGATTATATCTTGACAGATATGCAACTGGCCACCACATTAATTATTAGAAAATGGGCCAGATAGGATCTTAGCATTGGGAGAAGCCACATAGGCCCTTGTGTCCAGCATTCCCAGTGCAGGAGAACAAATTAAAAGCATCCCCTTCTCAAGAAGACTTCAAGGACATCAGTTGAACCAGAAGATGCAAACTGACCAAACAATAGGGACAAACAGCTTCAGCTCAATCAAAACAGAAACTTAGGATGTCTTTTTAGGGTATTTGTTTCTCATATATCCAGTTTTGCAAAATGCGACATTGTACAGTAAAACTCAGTTGCTCTTCTAATCTGCTCAACAGAAGAATAGAACTTCTGGTCTGCCATTACCTGTAATTGCAGATACTTTATTTCCTTCATGACTGTGGCAGCTTTTGCATACAAAAGAACTCTTTATTTATTCAGTGTATTTGCATGATGCTTTAATGGCTCAGAGCACTCAAAGAAATACAATTAAAACCAAAGTATGTTTTAAAACAAATCGCAAACATTACTTAATAAAAACAGTACACTATATGAAATGATGCATATTGAAACAGTTAAACATAATTAAAAGGCATGGGTTAACAAATATGTTTTGGGTTCTCTCCTAAAT